CGTGCCGCCATGGGGTCCACCGCACGCAGCACATTGTTGTGCTCCGTCCGCTGCTTTTCCTTGCTGCCGCTGCCACCTCGATGCCGTAGGTGCCGTCCTCCCTGGCCGACCGCGTCCGTTGCCACTTCGAGTCGCTGCCATCGCCTGGCACTCAGCCGTGCTCGAGCTGCCCGACGATTCACCTTGCCCGTATCCTTCCACAATAATTTGAGCTTTAGCTAGCGCCTTGTAATACTGAGTTTCAAAGCATGAACGCTCAGTTAGTTGTAAGTCGGGCTTGTCGACAATACATTCTAAGCGTAACTGCACCTCATCATATTGATTATACAATGTGTCCAGCTTACCCATACGCAATTCCAATTCCGTCGCGTCATGATTTTGTAAAGGTGTGGTAAGCGAATCCACGTAACTAATGAAAGCAGTTAAACGGCCTTTAAAACTACCTCGTTTTTTGATCAACTCAATTACAAATATTCAATAACAATCTCCGACTATCTAATGCACTAACTAAATACTATGCCCTGAAATACTACCTAACTATATTATACAGTATGTAGGTACTAACTCGGCAAATAATAATTTAATAATATTATAGTGACAAGTAACTTTACAGAATATTTCTCGACATTCAAACAATAGTAGATAATTTTATTATTTAAGCTACTTACAATACCCAATTCAATTATTGTATACCCACTTAATCAAAAATTTAACAATCGTCCTATGCTACAATTACGCTATAACCATAGTATAATTTTATTACTATAAAACACTCTAAACAAGAAAATAAATAATAATTAAAGCCTAAAAACATTTATTTGGTGTAGGTAATAATAATTAATGCTACTATACGATTTCTACTGCACAACTATATTAAGTAATGTAAATAAGCAAAAAATAATGTAGATTAATTTCTAACAGTATCCTTACAATACAATTTCTTACTTAATTACTGCAAATTATCAAAAAATTTGCGAATGTTAACACAACGTAGTAGGTAATTAATAATCGATAGGAACAATAAATTCACTAACCTTATAAGTCCGGTGATTTACACCAAATACTATTAGATTACCTTAATAGAGTGTTGGGTGATGATAAATCTTAAATTGTATCTTAAACACCACGTAATTACTGTAAATTAACCCACATTCTTGATGGCGGCGACGTAACTCCAAATTTGATTCCAACGTAAACTCCACCAAATTAACCAAACACAAGTATAATATAACTTCTGGTTCTTATTATTTTATATCCGGCGACGATCCAGGACCATGTTCGGGAGTTTACGGGAATTTAAAAATAATGCAACTTGAATGTGGTCTTGGACGATTGTATTGATCTTACAACAGCTGAGAGGGTAATAATATTGCAAAGACAAAAAACCTGTTTAAAATTAACGTTAAGTATGTACGTAATTACTACAAATACGTTGTTTAACTCTTTGCTCAGAAAGAAGGCGCAGGCGCTTCAACAGCATCTATTTGCATTTTCTTTCGCATTTACCACGGGGACTGCTCTGAGGAATTGTTCGGATTAATCCCAGCCGCCAAATTTTACGAACGCACATCGCGGCAGAACTCCCGATACCATCCACACCATCTGGATGATTGGCAGTCCACCACTGTGCGATTTAGAAGATGTTTTCTTCCTCGCACAACTTCCTTGTGGAATCGATTACCATCAGCGATTTTCCGGACCGATACGACTTAGGGACCTTCAAGAAAAGAGCCTACTCCTTTTTAAAAGGCCGGCAACGCATCTGCAATTCCCCTGGTTCCCCTGATGTTGCAATTGTTCATGGGCGGTGGTAGTTGTGATATATGTAGGTATAAATCAATATTGTATTATGTAGGTAGGCGCCACCGCGCGTCTTCTCGAGTGAGTCGCTCAATACATGTTATGAAGTCACACAGTGTTTATTATTTAAATACCGAGTTATCCAGAAATCTCTCAGTGGCGACGAGGATAGCAACGAACTCTTGGAAAAGTATTTGTAAACGACAAGTATTTAATTAAAATGTCGATTGGAAGAATTCCTGAGTTTGACCTACATAAGGACGATTGGAGGTCATACGTCGACCGCCTCGAACAATATTTTGTTGTCAACAAAATTTCGGAGGATTTACAAGTTCCGACGTTAATTACCGTGATGGGAGCCGAGTGTTACGAACTGTTAGTGAATTTATGTACTCCAACCAAACCAAAAGATAAATCTTTTTTGGAAATCACAAACATTCTAGAAAAACATCTCCAACCAAAACCAAGTACCCTCGCAGAAAGATATAAATTCCGGCATAGGAAACAAAAAAGTTGTGAAACAATAGCGGAGTATGCAGCAATATTGAAGAGAATGTCGAAATCTTGTGACAAGACATGATGAATCGTAAAACGTAAGCCATGGAACGTACAAGACGTGAATAATTCGAGAAACGACTAAAATCAATGAAACAATCATTATTTTTTGGATGAGTAGTGACTGCAGTTAATATAATATCATGACGCGTTCTCCAGCTGCCAAAACCGCGTTAAGTTGATTCGAATGTCGTCTTTATTATCGCCACAAAAATAAAAATCAGTCTTAGCGAAGTTGCATCGTAAGTCATTAGACATCAATGTAGAATGATGAACATTAATTGGACCAGAAACTATCCACCCTAGCCTGGTTTCATGCAGAATGGGCGTACTACTCGAAACATTAGAGACGTCGCCTAATGTTCACTTTGCACCGCATAGGCCGAGTCCTAAATTAAAATCTATGGTTTCGGTGCAACAATCGAATATTCATAATATAAACTCAAATAAACAATTCAAAGGTTGTTATAACTGTAACGGTGATCACAATTTAGGTAGCTGTCCGCAGTTTCTTGCACTCAGTAATGAGGCTAGATTGAAATTATTATCATCTTACAAGATCTGTTATAATTGTTTTAAGTCAGGACATTTTGCAAACCAACTTCAAATTTTACTGAGCGATCACCATAATGCTAACTCTGAATCGGCAGGTAGTGACAAGAGTTCTCGAGTCAGTAATCATAAGTTTGTTAAGTTACCTACTATACAGTTGCCAAAATTTAGTGGATCATACGAGAACTGGTTGGAGTTCCATGATACCTTCAGTAGCCTTATTCACTCTAATGATGAAATCGATGAAATTAATAAATTTCATTATTTACGCGCGTCTCTCGAAGGGTCTGCTGCTGTGGTAATTCAATCATTCGAGTTTTCTGCAAGTAACTATACAGTGGCATGGAATGTCTTATGTGAGAGGTTTAGCAACAAACGATTGTTAGTTCAAAATCATGTGTCAGCCTTATTTAACCTTGAAACGATTACAAGGGAGTCGTCTGTAACTTCAAAGCGCTTAATCGATTTATTAAGTAAAAACCTGAGGGCATTAGAATCGTTAGGCGAACCAGTTCAGCATTGGGACACACTTCTAATTTATATAGTTACACATAAATTGGATCAGAAAACCTACCGTGAGTGGGAGGAGTTTAAAGGTCATTTAAAAAAGGATGAATCAGTTACATTTAATATATTCCTCCAGTTTATGCGTAGCCGAGCTGATCTACTCGAAACATTAGAGACGTCGCCTAATGTTCACTTTGCACCGCATAGGCCGAGTCCTAAATTAAAATCTATGGTTTCGGTGCAACAATCGAATATTCATAATATAAACTCAAATAAACAATTCAAAGGTTGTTATAACTGTAACGGTGATCACAATTTAGGTAGCTGTCCGCAGTTTCTTGCACTCAGTAATGAGGCTAGATTGAAATTATTATCATCTTACAAGATCTGTTATAATTGTTTTAAGTCAGGACATTTTGCAAACCATTGCAAAAAGCCAGGGTGTAAGATATGTAAGCGCCGCCACAACACAATGATTCACGTTACTGAACCGATAGCAAGTCATACCGTACAAAATAAAAATAATTTCTCGCTCGAGAATGAGACGGGCACTCGGACAGGGACTCACTCGTCAATGACATCAACTGCAGGCACTGATGTGAACAACGTCGCTTTATCGGCAACCGTAGCGCATCGTAGTGAACAACGAGATGTATTATTATCAACTGCTTTGATAAAATTACTTGATTGTAATAACGTCGAACACGTCGTCCGCGCAGTATTAGACTGCGGTAGTACATCTAGTTTTATAACTGAGAATATGCGCAAACGATTAAATCTAGATTTTGTCGAAATAGATAAGTCGATTTTGGGCATTAATAGCGTGTATTCTCACGTAAGCAAAAGGTGTCGTGTACATTTAAAGTCGTTAGATAATAGTTATTCCGCTAACATTAATTGTTTCATTTTGCCATCAATTACTAGCAATACCCCAGGTCGCGAATTAAGCATACGTAATCTTCAACTTCCATCGAATATTTGCTTAGCGGACCCTGCATTTTATAAGCCTGCCGATGTAGATATTTTAATCGGGGCCGATCTCTTTTGGGATTTGTTAGGGTCACAAAGAATTAAGTTAGGAAGTAATACGCCCATTCTGCATGAAACCAGGCTAGGGTGGATAGTTTCTGGTCCAATTAATGTTCATCATTCTACATTGATGTCTAATGACTTACGATGCAACTTCGCTAAGACTGATTTTTATTTTTGTGGCGATAATAAAGACGACATTCGAATCAACTTAACGCGGTTTTGGCAGCTGGAGAACGCGTCATGATATTATATTAACTGCAGTCACTACTCATCCAAAAAATAATGATTGTTTCATTGATTTTAGTCGTTTCTCGAATTATTCACGTCTTGTACGTTCCATGGCTTACGTTTTACGATTCATCATGTTTTGTAAAAGACAGCTTATTTCTTCGAATTACTTAACGGAATTAGAATTACGAAACGCTTTAAATATTATAATTTCAAAATGCCAATATGATTCCTTTCCAGAGTATAAATTGCTTCTGAATAAACAAAACTTACCTAAGAAAAGCCAACTTCTTAAATTTAATGTATTTTTAGACGAAAATAAAATTATGCGTGTTGGTGGTCGTCTTGATAATTCTAAATTTTCGTATAATAAAAAGCATCCTATATTATTACAGTCCAATCATATATTTACAAAATTATTATTTGACCATGAACACAAAAGGCTGATGCACGCAGGCCCACAGCTACTGTTGGCAAACATTAGAGATACTTTTTGGCCGATAGGTGGTCGAAACTTAGCGAAGGCCTGTTATCATAAATGCATACGATGTCATCGCATGAAGGGTAAGGTTTCGAATCCACTAATGGGCAACTTGCCACAGCAGCGTCTCCTTTCGGGTGGCTTTCCTTTTGAGACGGTAGGAGTCGATTATGCGGGCCCTGTTATGAGCGCCACTCGTCAAGGTCGTGGGTGTCGACTGGTAAAGGTTTATATATGTATTTTCGTCTGTTTCACTACCAAGGCAATTCATTTAGAGTTGGTAGGTGACTTAACCAGCAATAACTATTTGTTGGCATTGCGCAGGTTTATAGCTCGAAGAGGTAAGCCAGTTAATATTTATTCCGATAACGGTGCTTCTTTTGTTGGTGCATACAATGACTTATCCAAATTTTTAAAGGGCAATTGCGATTCTTTGAGCGAAAGCATGGCCAATGATAATATTAACTTTCATTTTATTCCGGCATATACTCCTCACTTCGGTGGTCTCTGGGAGGCGGGAGTCAAATCGACAAAATATCATTTGCTTAGAGTGTTGGGCAATTGTCACTTAACGTATGAAGAACTTTACACCACGTTGACCCAGATCGAAGCAATCCTGAACTCCCGGCCACTCACTCCACTATCTTCAGATCCTGCAGATTGTACGCCCCTCACTCCGGGACATTTTTTTATTGGGCGTACGCTGACTTCTTTGCCGCAACTGGACTACCAGCATCAATCCACTCCGTTATTAAACAGATTCCAACGCATTGAGCAACTGCGTCAGCATTTTTGGGAACGATGGAGCAAGGAGTACGTCTCAGAACTTCAACAAAGAGTGAAATGGCGTTCTTGCAAAGATAGCTTAAAGATAAACGATTTGGTGGTAGTCAAGGAGGACAACCTTCCACCGCTGAAATGGAAGCTGGGAAGAGTCGTTGCAATTCACCCAGGAGCCGATGGCATTGTTCGAGTTGCAGACATCAGAACTTCTACTGGGATTATCAAGAGGGCATTTAACCGGATTTGCCCATTGCCGGTGTCATTTAATTCTGGTTGAAATCAAAGATTTCAACGCCCGGGGGCATGTTGAAGCGCCTGCGCCTTCTTTCTGAGCAAAGAGTTAAACAACGTATTTGTAGTAATTACGTACATACTTAACGTTAATTTTAAACAGGTTTTTTGTCTTTGCAATATTATTACCCTCTCAGCTGTTGTAAGATCAATACAATCGTCCAAGACCACATTCAAGTTGCATTATTTTTAAATTCCCGTAAACTCCCGAACAGATGCAACATCTTTTCGCAGTGCCAATGAATCGAGCCGCTCGGAAAGGACTCGGTCGTCGACGATTCGAGCCGCTCTGCGCTGGATGCGTTCAAGTGGAAGGAGCTGGCACTGGGAAGCCCCTGCCCAGAGATGGGAACAGTATTCAATGTGAGGACGAACCTGCGCCTTGTAAACTTGCAGGCGGTGTGTCGGCATGAAATACTGTCCCGTTCTGCTCAGCACGCCAAGCTTTTTAGAAACCAATTTGGCCTTCTCTTCTAAGTGACCACAAAACTGCACGTCACTCGATATGTCGACTCCGAGGATTCCGATACTGGCTGAGGCAAGAAGAGGAGTGCCTTGAAACTGAGGAGATATGACAAAGGGGTTCTTTTTAGCGGTAAACGCGCAAACTTGTGTCTTCTGAGGGTTAAACTGGACTAGATTTAGTCGCCCCCAATCCGAGACTTTGTTCAACAAAGACTCGACTTCAGACACAAGTTTGTTCCGGTACTTGGCGAAGTTTTCCCGAGAAATATTGGCACGGCCGGTGTATAGAGCATCACCAGTGCTGTCATCCGCATAGCAATGAATGTTACCAGTTAGCAACATATCATTGATATGCAGAAGAAATGTCATTGTCAAAAAGAAAAGAAGGGTATGTCACAGAACATAGGTATCGATGAGGCGGACACGAAGCAGTCAGTTTGCGATGTGTTTTATGCACGCTTGACAAAAGTGCTTAACAGTCTTTTGTTGGGCGGTTGGATCATGCCTGTTCTCATGTATACCTTTGGCATACTCAGGTGGACTCAGACCAAACTTAACGCTCTGCATAGAAAATTCCGCACTGTTATGACGTCCCATAGGATGCATCATCCGAGATTGTCAGTAATGAGGCTGTACTTGCCGCAGAAACATGGTGGGCGCGGCTTTTTAAGCGCGCTTACCATTTTTTTTATACGACCCATAGACATCTACATTTGTACTCAATAAGGAATGAAAGTGTAGATGCGTCGTCACCCGTGAGGACTAACATGGAATGCCTCTTTTCCAGTAAAATGGTTCTCCGGTTCTCTACACTCACCATACGAAACACAGCAGTATCAAGCTGCCATTTTACGCTGGTATTCTGTGTGAGCGCGGTCCTTCCCCGGTCGAGCCGACCCCTTTGTGCTACAACTATACTACTAATATAGCTGCAGCATGGCTCTACCACATATAGAAAATGCATAATCGCGAAGTGTGCAGCCTCCGTAATAACTTTCTGACGAGAGTGGATGATCCATTCTATAGGGACGTTATTTTTTGTGATAACGGACTTACCCCTCTATCCTTAGCCAACGAGCAATGGCAAGACCTGGCAGTACAGAGCATTTACGACCGGGAGACCGTATGGAAGGAGGAGCTCCACGGGAGGTTCTACAAGGCTCCACATGAGCTTTTCGTAGACACAGTTGCCTCCCTCCACTGGCTACGTTTTGGTGACCTGTTCGGGAAAACCAAGAGTTTTGTCTGTGCAATACATGATCAGGTTATTAAGACCATCAACTATCGGAGATACATCCTAAGGCATGGCACCGTCGATACTTGTCGAGCTTGCCGCCATACCGGTGAATCACTTAGGCATGTCATCTCTGGTTGTGGTACTCAGTGTGTATGAAGTACTCAGAGTTAGAAAGCGCCGTTCTAACTCTGAGTACTTGCATAGGCATAACCTAGTAGCCAAGATTCTACACCAGGAGCTCTCCCTGAAATACGGTCTCATGGATCCGAAACTGTACTTATACATGCCGGAAGCCATGCTCGAAAATGACTGCGCCAGGCTCTACTGGGACCATGCCATCATCACACACAGGACCATTCTTACGAATAAGCCTGATATTGTGCTGATGGACCGGACACAGTCAAGGATATTTTTGGTCGACATTATCATTCCATATGACGAGAACCTCGTGAAAGCCGAAACAGATAAGCGAACTAAATATCTGGACCTGGCTCACGAGGTGACTGACATGTGGGGTAGCCGACCGAAATTATACCTGTAGTCGTTTCTGCGAACGCGTTAATCCCAGTCGCCTCAGATGACCCGAGAGGCTGACTGGGATTAACCCGTGACGGACCGCTCCAAGCTCAAATGCAGAAGGCGGTGCTCCTCGATAACGTCTTTAAAAATTCTATAAAAACAAATTAACATTCACAATTAAGAGATTAACTACTATTTACTAAGTATACGCAGACTCGACGACTTCCAGCCTCCCGAACAAGCTGGTTTCCGAAAAGGCTTTAGTACCATGGACCACATACACACCCTTCGGCAAATTGTACAGAAGACAGAAGAGTATAATCTGCCACTTTGCCTTGCGTATGTGGACTATGAGAAAGCCTTTGATTCCGTCGAAATTTGGGCGGTGCTACAGTCCCTTCAGCAGTGCCAAGTTGACTATCGGTGTTTAATATTTTGTATGTGTAAACCTTACTTGACACTTCCATAGATGGCGTTGGGATCGAAATAGATCGCACTAGGGTTTGGTTGCTAAGAAAACCATGTATATGTTTTTTTGATTTTTGTTGAGTGAGATTCCTTGTGAATAAAGTTATCATAATTGAAGCAGTTGTGTTTCATTGTGTGTGCTCGCCTTCGGACCTTGGAAACCTGAACATGGTCCTTCGAGCCGGATTGGCGTGAAGGTGTTTTTGGTAGTCATCGGTGGTGGTGGTGATTATCACCCCGCAACGTTAGTACTGGGCAGTGGATTGCTGTCCAGAGCATCCCTACAGCGAGGCGTCAGCGGTGACGTCATCGAAGCAGAGGATCCGGCTGGATGCCGGAGGAAGTGACGTTGCGTGGAGGAGCCAGGCAGAGGAGTTCGCGGAGTGGCCAGAAGAGGGCGCCACAAGTGCAGCGTGAGACGTCGAGTGCTGATCAGTGTCGGTGAGAGTACAGTGAAGAAATTGTGAGTACATTTTCGACCTTATTAATAGGAAGAATTTAACTTCAACAATTCAAGAAAGTGCATTGAAATTTAAACCTTAAATTCACTAGATAATTAACTTAGTCGTTAGTAATATTAGTTTGAACTTGTATTTATTTTAAGCGAAATTGGTTTAGACGGGGAATCCATGCCCGATTTTACTCAGAAATACAAGTTTAAAACACTTGTAAAATTTTAATTATTACAAAAGGACTTGCTTCAAGTAAATTTAGATTTGTTTAGTGTTTTTTTTTTTTTGAGAGTGTTTACTGGACAATAAGTTTATTTATATAGAAATTTGTCTATTTTATTTGTGATATAACCTACTTGTGTTTTTTTTCTTAAAATGGAGTCGCTTATCGACATTCAGGAAGACATTAATGCTAAAATGCTCAAGTCAAAATCTAACTTTAAAAAATGTCCTAAAGAGCGTCTAACTGTTTGTTATATAGAAACTAGGATTGAAAACTTAGAACAGCAATGGCAATTATTCTACAAAACACATGTAAAATTAATTAGCGAGGTAAAAAAGTCTAATTTATTTAATTCAAATTATCATAAGAATGGCTTATATGATGAGGTGGAAGAGTTTTATATACAGTTTAAAAGCGAGTTGAAAGAAATATTAAATAATGTTAAAATGTCTAGTGAAACGTGTAATGTTAGTCAAGGATCTAGCTGTAGTACAGAATTTAGAAACTTTAAGTTACCTGAGGTTAAGATACCTGTGTTCTCTGGAAATTATAGTGAGTGGCAGACGTTTAGGGATTTATATTTAGGGTTAATACATAATAATAAAACTCTAGACGGTGCACAGAAATTATATTACCTTAAAGGGTACTTAACTGGAGATGCAGAAAAACTATTAAGAAACATTAATCTAACATCGGATAATTATACGGCTAGTTGGGAAAAATTAGAGTCAATGTACAACAATAAAAGATTTTTAGCAAAGGGAATTTTAAAACGTTTGTTTAATCAAAAGAGTTTAACTGTAGAATCAGCTACTGAAATAAAAAGATTACTTAGCACTACATCTGATTGCTTAGATTCAATAAAAAATTTAGGGATAGATGTAACTTCTTGGGACATCCTAATAATACATATTGTTAGTGCCAAGTTGGATAGGGACACCAGGAAAGCCTGGGAATTAAAGGTGGCTTCAGATTCCACGGATGATTTGCCTACTTTTACTCAATTTACTGCCTTTTTAACTAGCCGTTTTCGAGGCTTAGAAAGTGTAAAAAATAAACCTCATGTTCAAAGGAGTTCGCAATCGTTTCATGTAGTAGGGAAAGGAAAAGCGGAGTTATCTTGCCCTTTTTGTTCTGCCACTCATAAGGTAACTGCGTGTAAAGGTTTTGCTAAAGAACATAACGATACTCGACGTAATTTCGCACAGAGAAATGGGCTATGTTTCATTTGTTTGGGTAGTAACCACTCTGCCAGATTTTGTAGAAACACCGTCAGATGCCATTTATGTAAAAGACGCAACCATACTTTATTGCACCCTAGCGGTGGTTCTGGGTCTGTTGGTGAGGGCACGGGCGTTGTTCATAAGGAAACAGTGTCAGCTGCTACTAGGAATATTACCTCAATGGAGGAAACTCAAAAGACCGCTGTACAAGCGGAGGGATCTACTAAGCCAATAGTTTCATGCCTTTCGACAGGAAATTGTAAGGAAACGGTTTTAATACCTACGGCTTTAGTAAAGGCCAGGTCAAAGGATGGAACATATCGTTTAGTTCGCGCATTAGTAGATCAAGGGTCACAAGGATCTTTTATCACGGAGTCAATGGCTCAATATTTAGGGTTA